AAGCGACAGCAAGTGCTGGTACTACGAGTTCCAAGGAGCACGACGAGTTGGCAGCCACTTTGGCATCTGCTCTCTTACCAGGGGCCATTCCTCCTTCGATCCCCGGGAAAAAACCGATGCCCAAAACGCCATCCAATTCGGTTGTCATTCAGGAAGGAGCCAACGTTAGTGGAGCCAAGAAAAAGTTGCCTCCCAAGACTCCCAGAAATTCTGTCATTATTGCTTCCGAAGCCGAGGCAGCTGTCGTGGCTGTCAATGTCAAGGAAGACGATGACGACGACGATATTCCCATGATGGGAAAGGTTTCCATAAAATCAGAAGAAGAAAAAGCCACGCAACAGGAACAGCAGCAGTCATTGCCCACCAAAACACCTCGCAATTCCGTCGTGGTGCCGAATCAAGAAGCCGCCGCGGCAGCCATTGTGGCAGCATCCGCCGCCGCACAGGGCATGGCCATGCCTCCTCCTCAAATGATGCCGCAGGGGATGCCGCTGCCGCAGGGAATGCATCCTCACCACATGATGCCACCGCACGGATTTCCACAGGGAATGCCTCATCCAGGAATGATGAAGGGAATGCCTCCTCAGGGCATGCATCCACAGGGAATGCACCCTCAAGGAATGCATCCTCAGGGCATGCCTCCTCAAGGAATGCATCCTCAGGGAATGCCCCCTCAGGGAATGCCTCGTCAAGGCATGCCTCCTCAGGGAATGCCTCCCCAAGGTATGCATCCTCAGGGAATGCCACCCCACATGCAGGGCATGCCGCCACAGCAAATGGGCATGCCACCGCCCCACATGATGGGTGGAGCCGTGCCCATGGGCATGCGCATGCCAACGCAAGGACCCGCCTGGCAACGTCCACCACCGCCGCCACAACAACCGCGACCCATGCCTCCCATGAGAGCATTTTGCAATCCTCATCCCAATGCGCCGCCCATTCCGGCACAGGCATTAGAGAGCAAAATGATGAAGTCCAGAGATATTTCCTACATTATTCATTCTATTCTCAAACCGGTTCTCATGGCAGGATTTTCCGAAAATGACTACGATATTCAGTTGCTCTACCGACAATCGGGAGCTAGACCCGCCGGACCCAGGCCCGTCATGTTTCGAGGGGCAGCAGCATCACGCAAGGCTGATTCCAATTCCGAAGCAACCACCTCCAATCCGGTACAACAAGAAATGCAATCGCGAGAAAAGAAATCCAAAGATTGGTCCACCAAGAATGCCGCCCTGGGGCACATCCCCAAGGCAAATGTCGCTAGACCTCGCGCGTTGATTGCCAGTCCTGTCATGGCATCGCAAGACAATTCATCGGAAAGCAAGAGCAAGACGGAACAAAAGATGAGAGCACGACTCTGGAAGGCACGTATTTACTGCGATCAAGCCTATCAGGCATATCTTACGGTGGTGGATATCTGGGCCAAGGCGGCACCTGGATCCGTCCCACCGCAAGTGCAGGCGCCGCTGATCAAATTGATGAAGTGTCTGGGAATTGCCCCGGAATCGACAGATGATGGCAGTGCCGCTACTGCCACTACTGCAGGAGACTTCAAAGTTGATCCACTCGTTCTACAGCTATTTCTCAAATTGAGCAAAGGCCGAGTTTTGATGGCACGGATTGTGGAACATGCGTTGTTGCCGCCTAGTGCCGTGCAGGCTGTTTTGCCAACAACGCTGGATATCCTCTACAAGACGCCCCGGCAGCAAGAGGATCCAACAGATGACCGCTGCTTTCGTGCATTGACAAGTGTCGTTCAGACGTTACCGTCGCTTTCGGGTGAAGCAATGATGCAATGTGCCGAGGTGATGAAAGGCAACAGTCAAGCCGCGCTGTCGTCCACTTGTCGTATGGAGTGTTTGCATGCTCTCCTGCAACGTGGAACTGGCATGGCAGGTAGTCCGGAGGCTGGAGACTTTGCCGGTCAATGGAAAGAGACGGAATCGTCATTCATGGCGATCCTGTCAGGAATGTAAAAGCCTATTGTTTGCCGATCATGTCAGGAATGTGGAAAGCTTGTTGACGGTCGCAGCCGTACTACTCTGAAACTGTTCTTTGGGGATTTAGTTTGTTTTATGTTTGTCTTTGGTAACTAAATTTTTAAATCTGCATATTTTATCTTTTGATAGCGCCAGCGATGTCCCGAGGTACGCAAACTGCCGGGAAGTCTTACTGCTAGCTACCGTACCGGTACAGTAGCTTAGATACGATTCGTATTCGTGTACGCGGCATGCAATTGTAGCTCTGTGGGGTATCAATGAGCAACTCCTGCACGTGTTGTTTGTACAGGGCAGGAGGAACACTCACGATGATCAGGCGGATGCGGTTATCTTAGCTACGAAAGGAGATCTCGTAATCGCGTACGCGTTTCGCAATGGATTGGTTCAAGTTCTGTGGAGTTTGATGAACAACTCCTGCACGTGTTGTAGGAGGAACACTCTCGATGATCAGTTGGATGCGATTATCAATGTCGGTACTGCCGATATCGCCTGAAGCAGCCTGACTCAAAACACTCTGAGCTTTACAAAACCACTAAGCCTATCTCGTCATCGCCTGTTCAGTGGATCAAAGAAGCGTGCTATTCGCATAGGTCAAAGTTTGGAGAGCCGGGTGTCTCGTTCTCGACGTTCTTGCACAAACTCTTCCGAATTATCATGCACACGCGGTTGGAACGTTTTTATCAATGACGTCTCTTCGAGTCTGAGCCGAGTCGACGTCACAGAAAGCTCGACTACGGCTTCTTCGCTGCTCCACCGGTAGGCCGACTTCATGGTGAAACCCTGCTCTCCGCACGGCGACTCTGCTTTTCATTCCTGGTAGATTAAAAGCCGGATGCACGAAGCCGAGAAAGAAAGCTGCATTGATGGGATGCTCGATCAAACACGAAGAATGACCGACCATAGTCAATGTCGAGTCGAACGGTTTCCCTCCAGCTTATTTAGGCCCCAAATTTGTTGGAAAGCATTCATCAATAAAGTGTGACAGAATCGTTGCGTGGCCGTGGGGAAGGAAACAGGCCCGCAGCTACGCCGTTGCAGAGACCACGCAATCTCTTGTGCTTGATTCGAGCATTCGTGGGCTTCTTGTTGAATCTGTGGGAAGCCTGAACAGTGACAGACATCATCTGGAGGTTGAATGGGAGATTGCCTATTGGAGACGAAGCATTGGGCAATGGTTCCGTCATCACTTTTGTGATCGTGTCCAGGCCGACGATACAAGTAAAAAAGAACCGCACCGCCTCGTCTCCTTTTTGGGCGAGTTCATTATACAGGCAATCAAATCCACACGTCATTGGTCGCGTGTGTCTCTTGCGTCAGAAAGACTCCGGTCAACCCCTGGTAGCAAATATTGCCGATAGTTCCTGCGTGGTTGCCCCAAAGGCAACACTGCTTCTCCAGGGGCTCCATCGGGAGTCTTTACAGATGTGCTCGTCACTTCCCCGCCTGCACTTTGTCCGGCATCGCTTGGTGCGCGTGAGGTACTTTGTTCTGATTTTTCGTCACGGAAAAAGTCGCTGCTTTCTTCTTTCATAGCGGCTTCCGGTGCCGCATCATCCGCATTATCTCTCTGTTCTGTGTTGCCCTGCAACGACACCACTTGTAATCCTGACTGGTCTTCACTGTCTCCAATGAACGATTCACTTATTGCTTCCATTTGTGGTGCCGGCACCTTGTGTTCTGCATGTGCCAAGTATTCCTCAACCATAGATTCTACATCTCGTTCAGAGGCCACAGCAACGGAAGGATCAACACTGCGGGTGTGCGCGCTTCTTGCACGTTGATTGGTGGTTGAATGCTCGCTGGTGTCTTCACCATACTGATGAAATGGCAAGATGAAGTGTATTGCTGACAGAAACTGAGATGTGATTGTCTGGCGCCGCGTTCGTTGTTGTTGCCGTTGCGCTCTCTTTTTCATCCTCTCATCAAAGAAACTTAAAATTTTGGGGCGGGCATACACCAAAGCATTCAGCGCACCTTGGAGCGGTGCCAGGAATGCAATCACCAGTGAACCTTGCAGAGGGCCATTTTCATCAACTGAAGCAAGGTAGACACCAAACATGGTTGGCCATGTGATGTAGAACGCTGCAGCATAGAAGAAGGCCTGCCAAAAGACTGCTTGCTGCATTTTGCTGGCGTTTCCAACTCCAAACGACCATTTTCTGGAAGCCCCAGCACGTTTCCTTACGCTGTCATAAACCAGTATCATGCATGTTGTGATTGAAACAATCGCGATCGATAGGGGCACCACCACATATACAAGAACTGGCCATAATTTCCCATCTCCATTTGAAGAGGGAGGTTCAAGATGACAAACATAGACCATAGAGTCATACTCTGGGATAGCTGCAAATGCCAGCGTGAATCCCACAAGAAGAGGAATGCCATGCAGAAACGGGAGTATCTTTCTTAACTGAAACTCCTTCCAGCCACGGGCGATGACAAAGTAATAGTACAAAGCAAGGGCCATAGCATAAAAGACACTCGTCAATCCCAACTGGATAAAAACTGCATTGTAGAGCCACCAATGACACGCGATGAGCTTTTTAAAAAATCAAAACAAGCTTCTCTGTGACAAGCAACTTACACCCTTGGGCCGTACAGGTGGCCTCGTTTCTTCACAGGATGTAGAAAGCAGGTAAGAACAGAGCTTGACTTTCAGTAGCCTCTGGTTTCAGTCCACTGTACAGAACGTACCCAATTGCACCCTCTATTGGATAATTCTTGTCGATTGGAGCCGTCGCAAACAACCATGAAATGGCTGGAAGTAGTCAAATGGTTCGAGTGTGGTGAGATTTGTGCTTTGGATGCAGCCAGTACCATAGGTGTTCTTATCATGCACATACCTGTCATCAGATCAAAACAGCTCATTGCAGCCAGCAGCTGGTGATACACAGTCTTTCTAGCCTGCCCATCAGACAAGCTGTCATATAGGACAAAGATTGCTCCACAAAGGGAGAAGAAAGCACCAATCCTCGCAAACCAGACGAGCGCCCTCTTTTCAGCAGTTGTTTCCGCACCAAGGTATTCAATGGCATAAGGATCAGCCTCTGGTTCAGGGCAGATTTGTTCTGGGCAATACTTCGCAAGCAGGAGCTTTTGAAAACATCCCCAATATGCATGGTCGTCAGCACTGGAAAAATCTTCCAAACGTGTGAATGGAGAATTGAATCTTTTGCAGTACTCGGTGGTGTCAGGCTCTGTTACTAGTCTGTAAGCAACAGGACTGAGGGAGGGATTCTCCAGAAGATCAGACAGGAATTCATCAGGGATATCAAATTGATCCCTTTTCCCACAAAAGCTTCCCTCAACAGTGCATAGTGCTTTGAGATTATCGCCAAGCTCATGAGGGGAGCACCACACACATGAATGCATTGCTCGTCTTGCATCAAGGCAAGCCGGTGTCCCATTTTTTATCGCAATCTCGGCCGTTTGCAAGTCATCATCGAATACATCAAGGCTTGTAGTCAGCCATATGCTTCTGCACACAAACGAAGGTATCTCCAGTGCGTCCTCTTGGAAAGGGCTTGAGATACTGGATGGAAGCAGTTCGCATGTTATTGGGTAATCATCGCCAAAGCATAGATCATCAGTCTTGCACCAGACACAATGGGGATAAGCAAGCCTAGCCTCGTCACAGAAACCAGATTCTCCCTCAATAGCATTCAGAATTTCCAGATGCGTTGACGTGTTCAGAATACTGCCACTGTTCCACCCAGCAAAGGCCGAAATTTTGATGTCGTCGCATACATCGTCAACAGTCCTGTTGTATTCCGGTATAATATCTTGAAGGACTAATGAAGAGAAATTGCCATCATGCATTGAGGCATTTTGTTGATTTTGGATGTGCCATAGCAGCAGATTAGCCTCATCCTCTTCATACGGTGCCTCACAAGTAGGGGGCAACTCTTCCGTGAAACATCCTCCCTGGCAACGGCCAGGGCACAGATGAGCGGCCAGATATAACCTCCAGCAGAATGCTATGGACAGCGGCGCGACGTTCATGCCGACGTCTTCCAAGCTCGCATGCTCGTCGTTGTACAGATCGGTCTGCATGGCCTCACAGGTATTATCAATATCTGCTTCGGTCCGAAACAATTGCCACCATTCTACCAGAACTTCTTCGCGAGTGCTTCCCTGGAAAGGTAAGTTACACTGAGGAGACCAAGCTGCCGCGAAACATATATTCTCCAGCAGCAACACCTCTTCAATTTCCCCCACACAGAAATTGCAGTGTCTGTAGGCTCGTTGAATCAGCCCACACTGAGGATCCTTGGATGGCACATTGTTGAGGTATTTCTGGTGTTTCGTAGGGTCGTTAAAAACCTCTTTGCTCTGAAACACGTTCAGCGCCAAATTTAGGCAGCCTTCCTCTGCATCTCTAAAATCAATCTCAAAAGCCCAGTCTCCAGAAGTGGTATTTTCCCAATCGGAGCATGCAAATGCCTCTGGACTGGCATCGTAACATCCCTGTTTGATTCGTTGACCATCTACTACATGTAATAATTGTAGCGATAATGCAACCCAAACAACCAGTAAAACAGGTAGACCGCGACTCGGTGGGTAGCGTCTTGATTGGCGTCGTCTGAGAAGAGAGCCCATGGAATAATAAATCTCTTGCTGCTTGAGATTTCTGCCAGATACCCTGGGCTCTTCGTCCTCCTCTGTTGTCTTCTCAAACGCCCACAGAAGAAAGTGCATGGAGAAAGGAGATTCTGTTCGTTTCTTGTCTTCCCACAAAGGCAATGGGGGTACCTTACGTAAGCGGCACGACGAGCTCTGTGAACTTCACAATCTAGCTATCTAGTTGTTTTCTATAGGAGCAGCTTGCTAAGAGGATGTAATCGTTTGAGGACCTGACAGCATCCTCCTTGTGTTGGACCATTCATGCAGGTTATTGAAGGTCGTCTTCCTTTCAAAATCTGTCTGTGATCAACGGGACGAGACCACGAGACAGAAGAAGAACGCCTCCCCACCAAACCAGCGAACGAGGGCAGAACCAGTCTGCCGTGTGGCAAGAAAAATCGCCTTGTCACTTGATCGACTAAATCTTCGATTGATTCGATTTACCGAAGCCAGCGAAGCCTCCAGCATGCCCACCTACAGGCAAAACCCGAGATACCGTACCATACCATAGCCCAAAAGGAATCAAGTGGATGCTGGAGTGACCCAGACTTCAAAGGCAACTTTGTTGACAATGACGATGAGGATGCAAATGCACTTCCAGGACCACGTGCATTCACCACAAGGAATGGCCGGTGCTTGCTTCCTTTCCTGCTGTACAATGTCCATACAAAGGTCAATCTAATCTGAAGTACAGTGTAGTATATCAGTCGAGTAGGGCCATACTAAAACACTGGAAAGGAAAGTATTTGGATGTTTGTGGGATGCGCATGGGTGATGAAGTACGGTAGAGCTTTGAGATTACACTGCGTGGGCGACCAAATCACCTGCACGGATCATCGGTCGGCTGCCCAAAGCACCCCAACATCTGTCCCTGGATAGGTTGAAGATAAGACTATGACAATCCCTGGTCCCGAGAAATAACTTTGCAAGGATAGTTCGAAACTCAAAGTTTGTTCCTCTAAATATATAGAGTACAACCTTTTAATAAAAATATGCAGAGCTTTGCCATTGCAGTTGTAGCAAATTTCAAGCCCAGCTTTCGGTACAGAAAATCAGTTCTTATGCTACCATACGGTACCTTCTCGGTTCATCCATTGACCACGACGCCCTTGTGCTGTATTACTATTGGGCGGAGCTTGTCATCACAAAATATCCCCGTCCCAACGGCACGCCTCTGATTGATTTTCTCTTACAAGATGACACAATCATCACATGCCACCTCGGATCCTTTGTCGAGTTTGACATTGACCAAGACCTCTTTGAATACAATTTGAATACCTGGAGTGTTTGCTGCTTGCTTTAGCTCTTGTTCCACCTTGTAAGCGGTAAATCCTGGGCTTTTGCCATTCAATTGGGGTTTTCCTGGAATTCGAAGTTCGGCCACAAATTGTCGGGGATGAATTTTCCCTGCCAATGGAGAGTTGGCAGAGACATTGACCACTACAGGAGGGAATCCTTTGATCTCCATTTGTAAGGCTTCTAGGGATGCTGGTGTGGGAAGTGTGACAGTATAGTAGAAACCATCCGTCTGGTTCAAGGGTGTCTTGTTTGGCGACAAACGCAATTGTCGTGTAAGTTGGGCATTGCTGTCCAAGAGTTGCTTCACTCTGGCAGCGTCTGTTATATGAGACACTTCTAGATCAGGACCGACTTGGATGGAATGAACATACATGCCCGCCTTGGCACCCTCTACGTTGAGAACCTGAACCGGACTTCCGGAAAAGTCATAGGTGTCCGTGGCACCCACTTCCAGATCCACAGTTATAATGCCCGTAGACGCCTCCACGGGAGCAGAGGCGGCGCCACCGACAGCTGTGGCCTCGGCTACAGGGATCTCAGCCTCAGTAGCGCTCTCTTTGATCGTTTCAGCAGGAGCAGACATGGTGATGATGATAAGAAAGAAAAGTTGTCGAAGTCTTTTTTGTGTGCCTTCGGTTCTGTCTTCAAAGCACAGAAGATGCTTCGTTTCTTTCGCGGGACTCAATCATTCGTGCAGGGTACCAATAGCTGGCAGTTTCCTCAGTCCAATACCTAGTAGCTAGCTAGCTAGAGCGGCTGGTACCAAAGCAACAAAAAGATATGCTTACGGTAGGCGGAATGAATGGTGAATATTCATCTACCGGTAGCAAGAGGTGTACAACTGCCGAGGTACAATTCAGCCAAGAGCGAACGTGTCAATTGCTTGCTTCTTGAGGCCCGTAAATAATGTGCCCAAACTCCAGGCCAGTATCAGCTCTTCTTGCAACCAACAACCGACAACGTAATGGAGTAGAGTCGGGACTGTCCCCATGAGGCCTTGCCATTCTAACTACGTAGAGTTGCATAACGTAGGACTGTGTCTTCTATGTATCTATCTGCTCTTATACTACTATTCCAGTATGGACTAACTGTACATTGGACTACCATTGGGAAATTCTCTTGTTTTTGATGAAGGTAGCGGTGTCTTTATGCGCAAGCTTTGGCGAAGGCCAGCCCAGCAATGTCACCTATTTTCTGGTGACTCGGCTTCCTTCAAATAAAGTTGCCGGCTTGACCGTGGTCGCCTAAGCATCTTTGAAACGAACGGTGCTTGGTCGGCTGAGTCTTCTTTCAACAGGTGGAGGTGGAAGAACTATCACGTTCAAACTCTCGCTCCAGCTCAACCTTGACTTCATCTGGGATCAACTTGGCCGAGGGGCGGTTCTGTCGGCCACCGAACGACTTGGTACGACGGAGTATGCTGGTGCGAATGTGGTGGCGTCCACTGGACCGAATCAACGAGATCTGATGGGCTTCTTGAAATTCATGCAAGTCTTCCTTGGCTTCCACGTAGCAGCTTTCACTGATACCAACTCCTGCCTTGTCGTAGGATTTGATTGCATGCTCCATCTGATCAATGGCCTTGAGGTACTTGCCACTGCGTCCGTAGGCGACACCTAACCGATGTTCTGTCATGGCCACGTCCCAAAGGTGCGAGGCATTGCTGGCAATCATTGTTGTGCCGGGGGCACTCGAACTGGAGGACTTGCTCATGTGAGACTGGATCCAGAGTGCTCGAGTGAAGCATTCAATGGCAGATGCATACGCGTTCTCTTGTTCCAGATGGACCAATCCACGGTACGAGTGCAGTTCTGCGACCACCGAGGCAGGCAATGATGGCGTGCTCTCCAAGATGGATGTCAAACCTAGTGCCAGTTCTTGCAGAGCGGCATGATGGCTGTCGGTAGCATCTGAGTAATCCTTGACAGCGTAATCTAGCAGTGTCACAAGACCCTTCTCCTGAACAAACTCGGGCAGGACCTTGGAGACAAAGATATCGAGCTCTTCCACGCAAATTTCCGCTGCACGTACGCTAGAGGTGCGGAATCGGGAGCTCCCGCTCCCGCTGCCGCTGTTGTGTGCGTTGCCAGTGGAATGGTTAGAGAGTGACATGGAGAGAAAGGACGTTGCTGAAGTAGAAGCATCATCCAAAGAAACAAGTTCAAAGAACTTGGAAAGACGAGGGCCTGCCATCATCTTGGCAGAAGCACTAATGCGGTGCGGGGAAGGCATCGAGGCTGGCATCGTTCGGGTACGTCGCAACCCTGGAAGAATAGGTCTGCTGTTGGAGCCAGCAGATGAGTTTGATATTCTTTGTTGCCTTCCTGAAGAGTTGCGCTTGGGAGGGCTTCGGGTGGTTGTGACCACAATGTTTCGCTTGGGTGGACTTGACATCTTCTTGCTGAGTTGGATGAAGCAAAGTTATTAAAAACTAAAGAGGTTGTGATCAGTGGCTACTTGACGGTTCGATAGCAGCTCGCGTTGTAAGTTGTAAAAGTTTGCGGGTTGTGTCGGGCGTGGACCGATTGATCTTGGACAAACCAGAGAGTTTTTGTGGGCAATTTGCAAAGATGGTTTCACGAGTTGTGAGTTGGGCATGGGTGAAATTGAAGGCGATGTTTTGCAAGCTGTTTGCAAGGGGGCCCCATTGTGAAGCATGGAGGAGGCCATTCACTGTAGATTTTGGCTAATAGGTGCATTCTGCCAGGTATTAATACCGGTATCCCTTGACTTAACAGAAGAACGCTGGGTCATACAGCGAAACTATGATGTTAAATAATAATTCGTATACAGGATTGTTGAAGAAGAATTCTGTTTAAATTCTTTACACAGTCGAAAGAACTTCAACATACTGTATGGCCTGAGAGGGAAACGGAGACTTTAACACTATTGGTCATAATGACCAATGTCACCTGATGCACGTGTAGGAGAAGAAGATTACTCGGTACTCCAGTATTGATTATTATACTGGCTACTAGCTAGCTAGCTAGCTAGTAGCATAGTACGGTAGCTACTCGAGTAGCTCTAGCTAGTATCTTATTAGCTAGCTAGTACGATGTACTCGAGTTAGTAGCCAGTAGCATTGCAAATTGCGAACTGGCTGGAGGTGGAAGGAATGCTGAAAGTCCGGTGGATGCTCTCCACTGGTTAGTTCGGAGTTCGGAGCAGTGCTAGCTACTACATGTACATGTAGCTAGCAAACTATGAATGGCAACTGTGGCCAACTACAGGAAAGTCCCGCAAAAGCTGAATTTCCTTGAAACTCTCTTAATTAAACAACTTGAACTGTTGAATAATGATCATAAGTGTTGAAAAAGTGTTGATTAAGTGTTGAAAAGTGCTGAAAAAGTGTTGATTAACTGTTGATTCTCTTTCAGCAACTGTTGAAAATACTGTTGAATTTTTGTACAATGTTTTCAACACTTTTACTGCAAACTACTAGTAATAGATTCAACAGGTGTTGAAAACAGTGTTGAACTGTATTCAACAGTGTTGAAAAAGTGTTGAAAAGGTGTTGAAAAGTGTTGAAAAAGTGTTGACTAACTGTTTAACGAATCTCTTGACTGTTGAAACAAAATTCAACACTTTTTCATAGCCTTTCAGCGATTTCAGCATTTGCGGGACTTTCCAGGGAGCCTTTCTCATCAAGCCCAAGTTTATTAAAAGCGAGCCCCATTTCCAGCCGAACTAGACTCCAGCCAACGCATTAGAAGAGTCTTGGGGACTCTGCCATCCTCGATCCTTGGTGTGAGGGATGTAACGACTGCCCATTCTTGTGCCACGCTTCCCATTCTGTCTATTATACCGTGTTTCAGGCGAAGAAGAACAGTAGGGACACGGTTCGCTGGCTCCTCCATTGAAACGCCAGAGTGCTCCCAACCACTGGTAACAAACAACCTACAGGAGGACCGGTAATCTTATTGTATCTAGCAAGTGCAAACAGCAAGGTTTAAGATTCGGCGAGCGACATACTAGCTAGTGATACAACTCAAACCGACTCTCGTTTCTGCAGGCTCTACATTTCGGGCAAAACATCTTGGTAAGGACCAGTTCATCTGGGGGTGATTTGATTGTCAGGTACATAGGTTCGTACCGTACATCATTGAAATTCGAGAAGTCGCTGGCTCAGCATCTCCCTTGAGCCGTGGACGTTACGGCAGTTATATTGTTTGGGAAATGGTCCTGTCCTCAACCCCTCTCCCTTTACAGTCGTGCTGCCTTCTGTCTTCGCTTGCTACATGCATCGTCTCACTTCACCCAACACACAACAGCACTCTTTTGCAAGAATCAACAACAAGATACATGTACATTGCACCATGGAGACATCATGCATATATACCGAAGAGAATCTATGCGACAGGTCAAGAGAGGCCGTAGCTTACGGCCTGGGATATACTGACAAAGCGGAAATGATTTCGGAGGACCTTGCCAGAATCGCATATCACAAAGCCCTGGCGTATCGCATCGAATGCAATGTTTCGGATACTTTTGACGAGAATATCAAAGAATTCCATGCTCAATGTGGACTTCTTAGATCTAGTCAAATAGTTCCTTCTCCTGGTACTCCTGCTCAACCCGGTGCTAGATACCAAGTTATTCCGGTAACAGCGAAGCGCAACATGAAGGCCGACCTGGGTCAAGAATTATTGGCGACGAAGATTTTCTCACCTTTGCTTCGTCAATGCAAGAGAGTGACTTTCCCAGAGAAAGGGTTGCAGAAGCTTGAGACTCCGTTGCTGATGATGGGCCTTGAAGTGGGAGATGATACGGCAGATGCTGTATCGCTACCGTTTGGTTTGGATTTCACGTTCGGCACCGCCATCAAGGATCCAAGAAATGCATTCTCATCGAAGGTTACGTCATTTGAAGTTGTCCGCCATGACTTTCAAATTGAAAAGGGCCAGAAAATTGGGATATGTGTTTGGCGCAACGAGGACCGAATCACGAATGATGTTGAAGGAAGTGCTGGCCAACTGAGCGAAGCCGAACAAAGAAAGTTCTACGGACCGGCCAGAGTTGCCGTGATTCAAACAGGTGTTGTCACCGCAGTGTATGGGAGCAATCGTGAGGTGTTTGCCCACAATATCAACACGTATGAAGGATGCTCCGGGGCCATCATCTTTTTACTAGACAAAGACCAATCCCCGGAGTCGGTTGGGAGGGATGACCACGGCAAGGCCATTGGCGTCCACGCTGCAGGTCACGTGCCTCATAATTTGGGGATGTCAGTAATTGAAGGATTCCACAACCCGCCTGACCATCCACCAGCTCCGTCACCTCCAAGGTACCCCCCTTTGCCCCGAGAAGAACCTGCATTACCTGGGCAGCTTCCCCCGCCACAACAGCCTCCAGTAAAAGTGCAAGCTGGAGTAACTGGCAGGGGAGTTACTAGAGAGGAACGATTTGTCAAAAACATCCTAATGGATCTATACCAGAATGACGAGTTCCGGAGACTCAACACCGATCCCTCTTTGGAAAATTTGCATAAACATGTCAATCACAAATTTTTCAGTGCTGATAGAAGGAACAAAGATAGGCTCAAGGCCGCTTTGCGACTAATGGATGCATTGTGGACTAGAGAAGAAAGACAGAATGCTATATCAAGGAGCTTTAGTTCTGATCTCGATGCAGCTACAGTTTTTAATTCGATTGATGATTGGGCCAAAAGAGCAGCTCACATTTTGTCGAATCCAAGTACCCCGAAGCCATCGAAAAGGAGAAAGTCAGCTCTGCTGGGATTGGGAAAGGCTATCCTAGATGCCAACGCTGATCGGAGACTTTTGAATTTCATTCCGGCCTGGAATGACTTGCCCAATCCAAATTTGAGGACCCTCAGGGACTATGTTTCGGAGCAAGAGGTTGCTATAAAAATTAGGAACAAACAAGGAACTAGATAGTCAAAATAATGAGTACGAGCAACTTACTTGTTATTGTTCAAACGCCATACGCCCCCATTCTGGAATTGACACATACTTGCTTGTCATCATCCCATGCAATACCAATTAGAGCATCCAAAACAAATTTATCCAGATGCGACGGGATACAGCTTACAATTCAGCTTTACAGCTTTACTATTTGCAGGCTTATTCTAGAAAATAATCAATAACTGCTCACTTATTTGGAAATACAAACTTTACATCTCTTAGATCCCTAGACTAGTCAATGCACAATGGTATTGTCGCATGGTAGCATGCGAGGTTATGAGATGTTACTCATTCTTATTCTTATATGTCTATTGGATTCGCTCGCAAGCAATTCCCTCTCATTTCCTGTCGTCGATCGAAATCGCGATGACGATCCCGCCTTGGATTCGCTCGTAAGCAATCCCCTTGTCAATCCCCTTGTTGTTGTTGATTCGCTCGTCAGCAATCGCAACCCATTCCATCCTTTTAACGATGGACTCCTACAGGAGTCCACCTTTTATCCTGTCGTCGATCGAAATCACGATGAGGATTCTTTTAACGATGGACTCCTACAGGAGTCCACCTTTTATCCTGTCGTCGATCGAAATCGCGATGAGGACCCTATTATCTTGATCGCTGCAGCAGCCACTACTGGTACTGCACGTTCGACTACTACTGTTACTGCTACCACTGTTATCTCTATCACCGGTAGAGCCTTGCATCATCTCCGTCGCGATCGATCGATCCGAGTTAACAGAGTTAACAGAATTCATCGAAAAATGAGCTCCGTCTGCAATGAGGCTCGGCCTGTGAGTCATGCATTGAGTCATGCTTTACTCGTTTCGAATTACCTGAGCTTAAGTCTTTACCTGAGTCATGCTTCAGTTTCTCACTTTTTCATTAACTCGACGGAGACGCATACCTCGAGATCCTACGAGAACAACAACACGAGCGATCGATCGCTCCGTGTTGATTTGACAGTTGTCATTGGACTCTATCTACCTAGGACTGGGATTGGTCGTTCGAATGAAGAAGGAGACTGGCTTGCAG